ATAGCGCTTTTTTTCAGGGCGTGGTCTCGCACGTGCACGTCTACGCCAATGCGCGTATTCGCGCCCTTGTATGAGCCCTTTCTTGCGCTCGATTGTTGCCCACTTATGGACCACCCTTTTGTGTGCCCTTGCATTCCTCCATGCGCGACCTTCCTTGGCCGACTTATGTGATCGCGAGTCCAACCCGTGTTCTCTTCCACGTACTTGATTGCGCGCTATCTCTTGACCGACAAGCTTCGACTCACGATCGATCCTCGTATAGTCGACCCTTGTATGGCCGACCCTCGGCTCACCGGGTTCGCCTCATGCGCTCGTGCATCGATCTGTTGGTCCTTTCGTCAGCTGCCATGGTTCACGCCTATGCGAACTCCTCGATCCAAGCATGTCCGTGCTATGCGCTTATACCTCATGCTCCTCGGGCTCATGCAGCTTATTCGTGCGCGTATCTTTGTGAACGGGTGAGCTCTTCTTGCGTGTACCCGCTCTTTTGCACAAGACATTCGTCGACTACCTCGTGTTCGCGTGGACTCATGCCGCTTCTCATGTGCTTGAGTGCCTCTCATACGAGCTCGTACCCGCCTCTTGGGCCATGCGTGCGTCGTTTTGGCCCTATTTTCAGCCTCCTCGGGTTGTCTCGGCTCTTGGTCCTTCTTGTCGCTGGGGCTCGAAACCCACTTCCGCATCACGCTGTGATGACGGATCGCGGTTCTTGTCTATTTGGTGTGAATAATCGCGCACTCAGGGTCTTCGACTAGACACGATAGGTGTGACTAACAGACGCACTTAGGGCCTTCTCTTAGACACGATTTGTATGATAAACACACGATAGAACACAACGTTCCTCTTTTCTATTCACTCATCAATTCCAAGACCTTCAATAATGTAGAGGTACATGGGTATTTATAGGTGCATAAATAAATCTAAGCCTAATCAAACTAGATCTCCTAAATCATGCAAGAATATAAATCCTAAGGTAACTAAATATCCTAACATCTTCTACTACCATAAAATCCTAAATCTACTAGATCTCCTAATTACTTGTCTTGCACTCCAATCCTCTTGCTTGCTCCCTACTCGAAGTCGTCGTCCCCTTGACCTAGTCACCCTCTTGTGCGCCGCCCGCTAGTCCTCGTCGCACGAGGTATCGCACGCGCGCCTCCTACGCGCCCTGTGTGTTGCTCGCACCAGCTCGCCATTCCTATTCCTTGAAGGATCATGCTTCGAGCCTATATCCACTTTGCCTATTCCTACTAGGAATATGCTCCCGGCTACGTTGCCTGATCTTCCGAGGATTACTCCCGTCACCGATCTTTCACGCGCATTTTGCCACTCAGCTGCTTTTCCTATTCTTGTGGGCATTAGTATTCGCGCCTTGCCTATTCCTATGAGGATTAAGATTGCCACCTAGTCTTGATTTGAGCCTTGCGCGTGTGGTCTAGTGTGCCCTGATCGCCCGGTGCGTCTCGCTCGTCGCCCGGCCCCTCTGCGCGCTCGCTCGCGCTTGCCCATCTACAGCAGTCCCTTGCGCGCATCAACCACCCAACATCCACCCCCTGCGCGCCACTTCGCCGAACCTCTAAGCGCCATGCACGTCTACGCCAATGCGCGTGTGCGCGCCCTTGCTTAATGCACCTCTCCGTGCGTGTGAGCGTTACTAGCCTCGAGACCACCTTCTTGCGTGTCCTTGCACACTTCCATTAGCGAACTTGTATACGATCTCGTACCAGTCTTTAAGGCCATGCGTGCGTCGTTTTGGCCCTATTTTCGGCCTCCTCGGGTCGTCTCGGCTCGTGGACCTTCTCGTCGTCGGGGCTCGAAACCCACTTCTGCATCATTTCCACCCCCTTTGAGAATGTCCTTGTCCTCAAGGACTCATCCTCGGCCATCCAAACCTCGGGCAATCCTTCATCGATCTCAAGACCCTTGCGTGTATCGCACTCACGGTCCTCATCGACTTCGACCTCCACTTGCATCTCCTCGCCAAGGCCCTCTTCGACCATGACTACCCCGACCTCGGCGTCCTTGACGTTGTACACCTCTTAATCCACGTCCAAGATCTTTTCCTTGACCTCGGCCACTTCAGCTTCCTTGAGTTGTCGTTCGTACTCTTCTAAATTCCTTCGCTCGTGAAGCTCCTCCAAATACGTTTGCTCCCACGGGGTCAAATCCCTTTCCAACCCCTCCAACATTATAAGATCGTCTCAATCCAACTCATCTAATGGTAAGAATAACATCTTTTTTTTTTACTCTCGACTCTTTTTTTTTACTCTAAAATAACGAATAAAAAAAAACTAGGATGACACCTTTTTTTTATACTAACCAAACTCATGAAAAAATAAGAAAAAGAAGAAAAATTCGAACAAAAATTTTGAATAAAACAAGGAAAAATTTTGAACCCCTCAGCAAAAGGAAAAACCGAAAAAAAAAAGCAAAAGATAATAGACAAAAACTTTGACCGGACACTCCCAATAAAAGCACCAATGATGACGGATCGCGGTTCTTGTCTATTTGTTGTGAATAATCGCGCACTCAGGGCCTTCGACTAGACACGATAGGTGTGACTAACAGACGCACTCAGGGCCTTCTCTTAGACACGATTTGTATGATAAACCACACTAACGGTGTAACACCCCGCCTAATTATTTCTAGAATTTATAAAATCAGAGTAAAATTTTTGCTTTTTATTTTCGAAAAACTCTTAAACTTTATTTTCGAATACTAACTTGCGGGATGCTACTAACTTAAACTCTTTCTCATGCAGACGTAAATAAATACATGCAACCTAATCAAATCCGCTATATAAAGGTACCATGGAGATAAAGGCATTATACATGCACAAGTCTGATAATCTCATAATACATACTAAGTCTGAAATGAGCGGAAGCTGAAACATAATAAGTCTACGCATAGTAATAATAGTACATGTTCAATAAATGACATGCAGATGCGTTATAAAAAGACAGTTAATGACCATGACTGCCACTGAAATCTCACGCGCCACGCGCCGCTCTGTCACCTGAAAAACGTAGTGGGGGCGTGAGCAAAACCGCTATGCTCCGCAAAGACCAGTACTTAATTATATAGCATCGTTAATAACAATATCATGACTTTAAGTATATAAGAACTGAACTGAACTGAAACTGTAACTAGGGCATCTGGTGGTCATAAAGACCCTGGGGCTTAAAAGCCAATCATGTGCACACTCTGGGGGATCATTAAGGCCAATTAAGGCCTCCCTCAGAATCACGGGGGATCATTAAGGCCCGCCACGACCTCCCTCATGATGAACTAACTATTTCTCATACATACCTCGGACATGGTACGAAAATTAAAGATGTTGTATAACCAGTACGTGACCCCCACCTGATAACTGCTACTGCTAGGCAAGTGCTGACTAACTGGTAGCAGTCGGAGGCTCGACTCTCCTTAAGCTACATAAATATTTGAGCAAAATGTACTAAGTACTAAGCTCAAATAAAAACTTGATTCTTATTATTAATAAATATTACTCGGTTCTCTCGCTCGATTAAAATGTCATTTAATCTGGATTTAGATGCTTTGAGCTGTTCTGAAAAGATTCGTTGACTTGAGGCATTTTAGAGTTCTCTGAAATATTTCTAAGTCTGGTCTGCTTATTTGATTTATCTGATCTAACTTATCTGACTGATCTGATCTTATTTATCTGAATGGGTGTAACTCGACTTAATCGTGGTCCGGGTGCATACGCACGGACACGATATCAGCCGACTCACAGCTTTTCTACTCGGATGTAGAGTTCATCCGGACTGACCGAAAAAGGCCAGACTAGGGTTCTTTACTCAACCGGCTATCTATCTCGATTCAAGTCAAAAACTCAAACTTTAAGTTCAACTCGATTGCCATTAATTTAAGCTAAATCTCAACCGGATAAATTATATGGTTTTCACCAAAGCAGCTAAAGTCTCGAATTTATAGGCATATCAAACAACCTCTAAAAATTACGAAATTTAAACCACGACATATTCAGCAATTATAGGATTTTTCGTGAAAGTTTCATCAAATTCCGAGGTCTTATCATATTTATCAAAAATCGGGTATTTAAGCTACATATTCAAAAATCCAGTTGACATACTAAACGAGCACCAAAATTTACGAAATTAAAACCTAAGCCTCAAGTCAGCTATACGAATTTTATCATATTTTTTTTCAACATTTTTAACGCGTTTATCGAAAATATCTATT